GGGCCAGTGTAGACGCTCTTTTCCGGCTTTTTTAAAAGCCGGAAAAAAGCGGCGGACATTTTTATTTAAATGCCGCGGGGGATATTTAAATCCCCCGCGGATTTCCCTACTACGATAGGTGAAATTAACATGCCCCTTCCGGAAAAGGGGCCAGTGTAGACGAGCCCATGATGTATACAAGTACAAGAAAGCAAGTTGCCATGGACTCAAAGGAAGGTCTAGTGAAAGCCCTGAGAACTAGGCTAAGATTTCAGGCTGGAGGAGATGGTGTCACATGTGGGAAGAGATTCTCAGTGTCCTTAAGGCATCTACACATCAGCAGGTGAGCAAACACTGAGGTTGCTTCTAGACTGGCATGATTTTGTGCAAAAGCACCTGCTTTTGCGCAAAATCTTGCCACCTGTCTACACTGGCTGCAAGTATTTGCGCAAGAACACTGACTTTGTAATGTACAAAATCAGTGGTTCTTGCGCAAATATTCCAACGCTCCCGCTCAGGGATAAGCCCTCTTGCGCAAGTAGCAAGTATTTGCGCAAGAACACTGACTTTGTAATGTACAAAATCAGTGGTTCTTGCGCAAATATTCCAACGCTCCCGCTCAGGGATAAGCCCTCTTGCGCAAGTATTCTTGCGCAAGAGGGCCAGTGTAGACAGCCACGTTAATTTCTTGCACAAGAAAACCCGATGGCTAAAATGGCCATCGGAGCTTTCTTGCGCAAGAGAGCATCTACGCTGGCACGGATGCTTTTGCACAAAGGCACATGCCAGTAGAGACGCTCTCTTGTGCAAATACTTTTAATGGAAAACTTTTCCGTTAAAAGTATTTGCGCAAAATCATGCCAGTCTAGACGCAGCCTGAGTATTTGTCCACCTGGGTGTGGAAAGACTGTTCATGGCAGGATGTACCTTAATGTATCTAAAATGTAGTGTAAAATCAGAGGGAGGAAGATGAGCTTGAGTTTTGTCACTTGTTGGGGAGAAGACCCCGTTCAGGGCAGGGTAAGGGTGCCCATCTCACACCAGTGATTCTCATATTCTGTTTTTTTATCCCCCACTTTGGCTATGTCTACACTGGCGGCTTCTTGTGCAAGAAAATCTTGCGCAAGAACACATCCATACTGCCATGTGCAAGCTGTGCTTTTGCGCAAGAGCATCCATGGCAGCGTGGACGCTCTCTTGCACAAGAAAGCTCTGATGAACATTTTAGCCGTAGGGCTTTCTTGCGCAAGAAATCCCTGCTGTGTGTCCACACTGCCCTCTTATGCAAGAGAGCTTACACCTGTTAGAAAAGAGAGTAGCTCTTGCACAAGAAACCCTCTCTTACCACGCTTTACTGTAAATCTTCTTGCGCAAGAGCAGGTGGGCAGTGTGGATGCTCTGTGGAAGAATGGTCATTCTTCTGCAATAACCCGCCAGTGTAGACATAGCCCTTGTGTTTCTAATTCCTCTGACCAAAGTTTGTATGCGCCTGCCCTCTTGTCCCCAGGGTGGGGGTGACCAAGAGGGCAGAGCCCAAATTGCCCCTATTTTCAGGGCAGTGCAGTTCAGCAGTCCCAGGAAAGGCTCTTCTCAGAGCTGGTAGAACTAAGAATGGCCCCAGGTATAGGCAGATCAGTCTCTAGGAGGGTATGTCTACACTACCCTCCTAGTTCGAACTAGCGGGGTAATGTAGGCATATCGCACTTGCAAATGAAGCCCGGGATTTGAATTTCCCGGGCTTCATTTGCATAAGC